CGATTTACTATTTACTTTATAGTATTTCTATAGTTATTAGCTTTGGCATAATATTAAAGCTATCGTTATGTCCTTTTCGTGACGAAAAATTAAAGAATTGTTTTAAAAGCATTATCGTTTGAACCACAACTGATATTATATTAGAAAAAGTTGAATTATACGAGGACCACATGAGATCGATGCAATCGACATGATTGGCGAAAGCTAAGCCTAATTTTACCCGAAACGAGTGAGGATATCTAGTAGACTGCGTTAATTTGAATGGCATATTAAAGCTAAAGAACTACAGTACAGTGGCAATCATCCATTGTCTTCTGCTAAAATAGGCCTTCGAATCTGTTCATCATGAACTTTCATGTGAAATGAAAGTCCCTCGAATATTGCTTTTCTGCAGAAAATGCTGTAAATTAAGTTTTTTTATGGTAAGTAATTGTTGCTTATGTCGTCTTCAGAGTGTCTCTTCTTTTTACTCGGCATACTTTGCAAAGGCCTTACTAATATGGCTGAATATAGATTTACCTTAAGCTGATGAAAACACGTTTAATTGGAATTGTTTTTATTTAATTCTCTTTTTAGTGGTTGCCTTGTTTTTGATCTCAGCTACTTGTCTTGTATTGAGATTGATGGGCCCGAATCACAGGTGGAGGATTTTATGCGTAATATCTTTCTTCCAGATATGTCGCTTAATAACTTCAATGAATCACCCGAACAAAAATTATCAGCTCCTCCCGTTGCTTGTGAAATGACTGGTTTATTCGTTGGACCTGAAAGCGGGCAAGTTAATGGAGGTCCTTGGCGCAATATTGACCGACCCACAATAGCCCCTATCAGAGTGCTCTGGGGCCCGGTGAGTTAGCCAATCTTGATATTTTATTTCATCTGTCCTTTACTCACTCATATTATTACTTAAAAAGTAGCATTTAAGCTCCTTCATTCATCCGGTTCTCTTGAATAGGGTTGCTATTTAAACCTTAGTTCTTTCGCAAAAGTTTATACTTATATTGAATATATGAAGACCAAGATGTTGTGGCCTCTGGTGTGGTCGCAGTCCCCTTTCGATTGATAGGGGTTGACCTCGTTGTCGCAACTTGGTCTTGTTTTCAGGGAGACCATGTAGAACGCATCTAGTCCGAAGTCATCTGCCATAGTAGTTGTCATGATTCCCAGCATCTAACAGTGGACTTGATACACTCAAACGTTTT